CCCCCCCCCCCCCCCCCAAGCTATCGCAGCTGCCCTCTCCCGTTCCTATAGGATGACGCTAGTTGACAAACAAATGGCGTTCCCAACACGCCCCCTACAAAACAACGACGCCCCGCCAGAAATCACACGTATTTTATCATAGTGATTGAGCGACTGCTGGCAATAATGAACGAATGTCTACTTGATTTTACCTAGAACATGATCGGCCTTCATCCCGTGTGGCTTGACTTTCTACTTTTCGACAAAAGAAGTACAAGTAGGTCAGTCTTCCCCCCCCAGCACATGCCTCGCAACGTTTTGTGTTTTGCTGGACAGGCCGAAAACCGCCTCGCTCCAAATATTCGACTCCTCTCCTACCGGCTACGGGAGTCGTAGGATAACAAACAAGATCTAACACAACATCCAGACCAAGCCGATCTTCGGTCAGAACGGCACAACAGCAATCAGCCCAAACTCCATCACGTCCGACCGGTCACTTGGAAGACAAGGGACCGGGGTTCCCCAACCCAGCGGCAGCAGCACGAAAACCCCACTCCGACAGATACGCCCACGTGTGACCGTGGTTCTCGCTCTCTCTGATTTGATCTTCCTGTCCGCCGGTGTCAGTGCCTACACCACTTCAAAGGTCATCTACTTCTACCGCTATCGCCCTCAACTGCCGCCGTCAGCTGTCGTTGCAGGAGCCTCCTTTTGCCTGGCTTGGCCCTCCTGCCCCTCCACGCCACGAACGTCACCCACGGGAGGAGCTGCCAGAGCTACCGCCTGCGCCACCGCAACTCCAGTTTCCTCCGCCCTTCCGCCCGGTTCCGGTTCACCTCCAACCGCGTGCGCCGCCGCCGTTGTAGCGGAGGCCTCCGCGCTAGATAGAACCCTGCTCCTACCGCCTGCGGGGGCGGCGGCGGCGACAGCGTTGCTCCCGTCCGGGCGCGTCACCGCCGTCGCCGTTGCGTCGCCGTGATTTACCTCGCCACCACCGCCGCCGCCGCCGGCCACCGCTCGCAGGCCTTGGGTCGGCGGCGGCGGCGGCGGCCGTGGAGACAGCAAGTGGTTCAGCCCGGCCTCGCCGCCGCCGTCGTCTGCCGGGAGAACGCTTGGCGCCGCCGCCGGTGTCACCACCGCTGCTGTTGACGGTGTTGTCGTCGCCGCGATCGCGCCGCCAACGGCGGCAGTCGCCGCCACCGCCGCCACCGTTGTCGCCGCCGCGCTACCGCCGACGGCGGGGCTGACGTGCCGTACGCACCCGCCTCCCCCCCGCTCTCGGACGAGAGACCGCCGGGGGGACAGGCTGGTGCCGCCCGTCGCCGGGGTGGTGCCGGGGGCCGGGGATTCCTCCGCGTCTTCGGTGGAGAAGGTGACTCGGTACGGCGTGAGCGGGTGGCCGTCTTCGCACTTGGTGTCCACCTCCTCGTCGCACTCCGCACACCTGATGTCCGTGTTGTTGGTGGT